GAAAGAGGGGTCCTATAGACAACTTCCCGGGAGCATGCAGCATACCTGTTTCTATGCTGGACTCTGCATTCCGTTGATGACAGCGTTTTCAGGGGGTTCGTTGATTTAGTGAGGCTGATTAATTCGAACAGTGCAGAGAACAGGACACGAACTTCAACTCGTTTTCCAATTTTCTTGAGCATGTATGATATCTGGCGTTTGCATGGAATCACGGTTATTCTTTCACGCTCTGTATCTGTGTTGCTCGGATTCTGTCGCTGCCTCTGCTTTGCCTTATTAGTCCGCAGGATAGCCTCAGCAACGAAAGCGATAAACGCCTCGGAGAAACCCGAAGCCTTAAGCCGGGAAACTTGAGCCTTGAAGCTCGCAGAGATGTTGTGGGCGCACGACCTATTTAAGTTAAGGCTTTCTCAAGACAGGTTCATGCTATGCCTCGCTTAACCAACTTGTTGTGAGCGGAAGAAAAAGGAAGTAAAGGATTCTGCGCACGTGGATCATAACACCAACAGATGTGCTGCGAGCTAAAAAACAGTCTTAAATCCAAAAAAGCGTAACTTGTCATTCTCGGGCATTTCATGTGTCAGCACAAGAAGCTTTAAATAATCTTCAAACACACCTATCGTTTGAGTCGCAATTGAATAGAACATAGGAAGGTTACAATTTAGAAAAACCAAGAAATCATCCGCGTATCTGAAGACATTGACGACATGCGAGCCTTCGAACTTTTTATGCAGTTTTTTCCCATTTTCGCCAATGTATAGACGATCACTGAGTAGAGGTGCTATGCATGAGCCGATTGAAACATCCTTTTTCTGCAGATAAATGCAATCATTCTGTTGAACGAAAGTAGAGGTAAGGTACAGCAAAACCAGGTCAAGAAAACCTCGCGCACGGATGCCAGTTTTTAATTGGAAGTTCAATTCCCCGAAGACTTCTGTGTTATCCCTTATACATTGTAATACCTCACCGTGAGGCAGGGAGTAGTATAGGTCCTTTATGTCAATTGAAAAACCGAAAACATTAGATTGATTTGACTGTTTGAAAAATTCTATCAGTGCCTGCGAGTTTTTGATCAGAAATGAGTCATCAATCTTTAGACACTTTAGAAGGGTCTGAATAAACAAGCCGAGTTGCTTTTTGCCGCGTACCACTTTCTGTCACAATGACCCGGAAGGGCATGTCGACTTAATGTGTTTTAGTAGAAAAAACAAACAAACATGCTGAGCCCATTTTTGTTACTTTTGCTAAAATGTTGTGCTAACTGTTTCAACTCTAGCTTACGACACATTTCATTAGCTTGCGTTTTTACTCTATCTAGACGATGTCGGTACAACATTTGAAAACAGAGCCAATAGTTGTGACCGCCTTTTCTAGGTACAAACAATTAGGAAGAACGGCGAAACCACCCTCCTTATCTGACGGCACGACACGAAGTTCATTGTCTCTCAGAAACTTGGTCGTCTTCCGCAACGAAAGGCTGGTGCTGGTAGGCTTACCCCGTAGGAGCACGTTGACGCCTTCTGAGATGCATCTGTCCGAATCCTCTGGTGAGGCACAGCCAGCAACATAGCGCACCATTGAAAGAAGCTCGGGTGCGGACCTCTCTCGGTCGACGGCGAACTTCGGACCAAGGGCGAGGGTGTTGTGGGCGTAGTCTGGGAGGACGAAATCACTGCTGGAGTGGACCTCACCTGATTAGCGGGGCTTGGTTGGGCACTGCGCACGAATGCTAGTGAGCTCACGTGACCACAAGCTGTTCGCAGTGTGTTCGGTTCGGTCACAGTACTCTCGCCATCTTCTTTTCTTCGCTCCCGGTGTAAGATCTGTTTGTTAAAGCTGGAAATGCAAGGCGTCACGGTACATACGCTATTGTCGGTGCCATTCAGACCAAAGAATTTTTCATACCCGTATGCCATGGCTGAAAGAGGGGTGGTAACCTCCACACAAGACTTTAACGTCCAGAGGCAGCTGCTTGGTGCGAATGCAGAAGGTAAAGGTGCGCGCACGGCAAACGAAGACTGCGATGAGGGTTATGAGGACTAAATGATGAAGCGAAACAAACGAAAAAGAGCCCGAAAAACTAGAAATTTATTTTGGAAGTGCGGCAGCTTGGGGTATAGTTGGTATGGCATGACGATAGTTTTAGCGCGAGAACAAAACGACGACACAGAGACCTTCGTGTCCTTCTTGTCTGCTGGTGGTCCCGTCCACAGACCCTTTAATATTGGATCTTTGATGACTCTCGCAGGATTGACTATATTTATTATGATAAAGTGTTTCGCGAATTAGTGCTCTTAATCGGTGTGACGCAAAAACACACGAAAAACGCAAATGCCGCTGGTTTCTTCGGCACAGGTGTCAGGAATGTTGATTTCCACGGTTTATCAAAGTTATGACGACAGAAAGGTGCACTGAAACGTAGTCTCGGGCAACTTTTTTTATGTCGCTCAGTGTACCATCACCTGACGAGGTAACCGGCAGGCCGCTTCTTTTAAAAACACTGACGTGCCACCAGAATGTTCTAGGCGATTAGCACTTGATAAACGATGCCCTCGGGCAAGTGCCGACGGCGTTAGCCCATCTAACTACAAAACAGCTTGTCTTCCTTGCTGAATAACATGCACGGCCTATGACAGCACGGGAGCATTTACGTAGCATCGGATGAGAACGGCCGTACGTGTTCGCACTTGACAAAACAGCCGGCAATGCAGTAGCTCTGGCCTTCAGAGATCACAGGCTTCGTAAGAACATTACAATAAAGTTGTTTCCATTCATTGTATGAACACTTCGCCGACGCACTGGGGTTTCATGCATGTGCGTCCGGTCAGTCACACGTGAACTGTGCGAAAGCATTTATTTCATCGTCGAGCTTGCCCTTCGCGACAAGCAAAACTCGACAGCAAGAAAACTTTCACCTTTGACAGCCCCACGCTTGGCATTGCAATCTAGAAAATGCAGTACGTCCAACAACAATAATCCGCACTTCATACTAAGAAACTTTATTGCGCACACACTCAGATGAAGCTGCGGCGCGGTGGACGGCAGCCAGCAGCAAGTCAGGCTGATGAGGAGGCGGAAATGTTAAAACAATGCATGCATGAACAAAAAAAAAATGAAGAAAGTAACGATGACTGCAATGGGACTTGAACCACCGACATCACCAGTTCTTGATGTGAAGCTTTAACGAACTACGACACAACCGCCTTTTATTGTTTCTTTATTGTACTACGCCACAACTGCCAATTGGTGTCGGATGGCAAACAAGCCAGTTTTGTATTGTTTTCACGCTGGACCCAACTAACATTTTTTGTTTACTTTTACGTTTGGACGTAACTTTAACGGCTTTTATCGTTACGTCTAGACGTACCGCTAGACACTCCCGACTATTCAAAAAAAGCGCCTAACCGGAAAATGTAAGACGTCACTTCTGTGCGGTGCAGCAGCCGTTGCTGTGTGGAAGAGGAGGTGCTGGGGTGGCTCGGGCCAACACCCTCCAGTTGGTGTTGCTCGGGCGCGGCGCAGCAGTCTCTGCCACACTAAAACTTGTTTCATCTAGGGACCTTATGCCACACAGAACACTGCAAACCGACGCGCGCAACGCGCGTATTCTTAGAAGTGTGGCAGCTTGGGCTAGTTGGTATGGCATGACTGTCTTCCGTGTTCTTCTTGTCTCTGTGTCGTCGTTTTGTTCTAGCGCGTATTCTATTGCGATCTATGGCGGTTCCACTATGTTTTTCCTCTAGCAATATGGCCGCCGGCGACTTGCTTCCGCGGCCGGGATTGCCACTCCAGAGGTTCTATAGAACCGCCTTGCCTGACACTAGAAAAGCAGCAGCCCATTGGCATCGATTGAGTTTCTTGTTCAAATTGTCTACAGTTAGCTGCTGCACTTTTGGTCGATCGGCATTGCGAAGCTCCGTTTTATTTCAGCTTTGATATATCAAAGCGAGCTTGCGAGTCGGACTTTACGGGCCGCTACGACGAAGCGAACGTGTCTAGAGGCTGTGAACCTTGTCAGCTGCTGTGATTCATCGACCTCTGGCTGCGGAGCCTTCAGCGTGAAAATTCAACGCCGGCAAATCGCGCGGAGATTGCCTACAAAGACGCAATAATCTTGCACAATGGGGGCGTGTAGGCCGTTGAGTGAAAATGCGCTGCTTTGCACCTGAACATGGCCCTTTTCTTTTGTATGCGCTACAGTTTTTGTCATTTCATAAACTATTTCGACTTATACAGCTAATGAGATGCACACCTTGTGCATGTTGGAGATTGTTGTCACATTCGCTGAAAATATGTTTACTGCTAAAATTTGTAGCACAGATCACAGCATAAGTTCTACTTGTTTCTGCTCGAAATGAGTCTGCTGCAATATATGCTCATAAATTCAATACATAGTAGAGTCAAGTGAACCTTCAGTACATATACGCATTTGTACATTTTTCGTAAGTTTGCAGTGAAGCATGCTACATTTGCATGAACTATATGGTCCATCCAGTTCGGGAATTACCTAGCTTTGTTCTCTGAAGAACGTCACTAAAACGAATTCATCGTAATGCCATCCACAAGACAAATTCACAAAAACAGCAGTGTTATGTCCCCATTACCTTTCTTATATGTGGTGTTCCCGTATACATTCTTTTAGTCATGCATCACGAATCCGTTGATGCTTCTACCAGAGTAATCAGAACTTTTTTTTTCTTACAACCCAACCACAGCCTCCAAGGAACTGCTCATATCAGTGTACGCTTGGATACCTCACCACTCAGAACCTACCTCAAGTCAGCGGACAATGTGTCATCACTGAAAGCAAGCTCATGAGCCAAAATCCTCGCAAGGTATGGTTGAAGACACCTTATTTATTGAACATAATTTTGCAACCATTTATGACTTACCCTGCTCATAAGTCTGTTTTTTTTTTCTTTTCTTCTCAGAAAACTGGTCTAAACAGAGACAATTGATTTTCAAGCTACCCACATCCAGTCGTAAGAAGCTCTACAGTTGCCATACTGACAATCTCATGCACCATCAATATGCCAGCCGGACAAATGGAAGCCTTGTACTGAAAAACAGTGAAAGCGTATGGTATGTTCAATCTGTACGAAGTTGGGTGCACAGATTGTTGTTTCTTTCTTTATGAATTACTGAGTTTACAGGAAATATGTAGGCTTCAAAATTCTTTGACAGTGCTTGTCATGGGGTGCACATACTGTACTTCACTCTACGTGTCAAGTTTGCATAGAGTATCACAAATAACTAGGTAACAAATGGGCCTGTAGTAGTGCATATTTAGCGGCACTTCTTTTTCACATTGTGTAGAGATTGCTGTGAATGTAAATACTGTTGCAAGGCAGTGGTAGGTACAGCATTAGTAGTGTTGAAACAGTTACTGATACCGTGTGCAGGTTAGTACCGACATTATCAAAGTTCTAAAATAAAAACCGTGCAAGAACTCAAGCCTTCATTAAGCAAGACATGTTTTGCAGAGGCAGCGATCGCAGAGCCGAACCATGAGAGTAAAATACCTAAAAGAATAAGAAAGAACGAGAATGGGTGGATCGCATTCGGCAAGCACTTTCAAATCATGAATGATAATCTGTCACTAACCCTCAAGAAGAAGGTATATAACAGCTGCGTCTTGCCTGTACTTACCTATGAAGCAGAAACCTGGAGGCTTACAAAGAGGGTTCAGCTTAAATTGAGGACAACGCAGCGAGCGATGGAAAGGAAAATGATACGTGTAACCTTGCGACACCAGAACATAGCAGAGTGGGTCAGGGAACAAATCAGTGTTGGAATCGTAGTTTAAATACGAAGTTGAAATATCGTAGTAAAAATCGCGAAGAAGAATTGGGCATGGGCTGGGCACGTAGTACGCAGGCTGAATAACCGCTGGTGCTTAAGGGTAACTGATTTGACTTGATTGGACGCACAGAGAAGGAAAATGCATGAAGTGAGTATGGAAGGTTAGGTGGGCCAGTGATATTAAAAAGTGTGTACGTATAACGTGGCAGCAGAAAGCACAGGACCAAGTTGATTAACCGATCATGGGAGAGGCCTTTGTCCTGTAGTGGGTGTAATGAGGCTCATGATGCGCCAAAAACAAGCACTGACATGCACGCAAGCAGTGAGCCTTAGTGTTTAAATCTATGTCAATATTTGTGCTTTGAAACATGCTTGTTTACATGACAGAGTTAACGCAATCAAAATGAGATGTAATCAGTAATTTGCATTTGCTTGCATTTATTCCACTGTGACTCCATGACCACCATTCCTAGCTTGTCCAAGGTCTCCAGTTAAGCGTCCGAAATCTCATTTGCTGAGAAATGCTGCTGTTCAGTTGTTTTCCTCCATCAGTAAATTTAGTTTGGTTTGCTTTTGCAAAATGTTGTGATCAGTCTGGGCAGACACGTTCAAACAGCAACGAAAACAAGGGGCTCCCAGTTTGAATTAGCTGTTGTGGATACCAGTGTGTTCAAATTGTCGAGAGATTTATCGAATAGAAATGCACAGGTCTGTGCGCTTTTACTTAACCGAGTTCAAATATCGACCTTTTACTGTAATATTATTTGTTCTATGTAAAATACCTGATGCATAATAAGGCATCATTAAAGGTATGTTAACTTTTAACAGAACAATGACTGAGTGCGCTCAGTAGGTATAATCAAAGTTGGCCAGTGTTTGTATATGTTGATAATTCGAAAGTCTACTAACAACTATTTCCTTGATATTGGTGTGAAATATGTAGCCAAAAGGACTAGTTTTGTATGATACCCATGTTAAGAGTGAGGTAGACAGTTAGGAAGTAGTGAAGAATAAAAATATGAATTCATCTTCTGCCGTTGTTCATCGTTTGAGCAGTGTCTTTGATGACTATGCACCATTGGCACAAGCATAAAAACTTTGAAGGTCATTCAAAAAATAAGGGCCATTTGGTTCCAAGCAAGTAAATATTCATTAGCAAAAGTTTTCATTGGTGGGCTTAGCTTAGCAAAAACCTACTTCACTTTTCTACAGAATCACTGCTAACTTCTTAGTACTTCTCGTACCGTTGCAGTAGTTTCTTTAGTCAAACTGAATAAAAGATCGCCGCTTGATAATTGAAAATGTTGTGAACTGTGATCGTGAATTTCTCACTGTCTTCTAATCGTACCCAGAGCCACTGTTTCGAGTGAAAGAAGAAATAATCACACGGTGCTGGCACAGAACAGTAGGGCAAGCAATTAGTGTTGCCTACCAAAATATTTTGATCTTGCCATTGGTTCTGATTGTGGTGCAAGGATGCATGTTGTCACGTAGGAAGCTGATTCCTGATGAGAATTTATGACGTCATCAATGTTTATCGTACTTATTACTGTGGTGAGTTTTTCACAGTATATGTCAGCTGTAAATGTGGCCCACATTTATTAAACACTAAAGATTCCCTTTTTGACTTGGAAAATGGTAGCCATCAATCTTTAACTGGAGTAAGCTAATTGCTTGAATTTTTTTCAGCTTTTGTGAAAAGGAGTGGTGGCACCACTGTGTTGTTTCTGCAATTGCGTACACTTTGAAGCATCGTCACTTGTGCAAACAGTGTGCGAAAACAAGTCATCCCTGTTTTCTCGGTAGCAGTCCAGAAACGCTCATCCACTCAATGTCCTTTAGTGTTTGACTTGGTCGGTAAGCATTTTTGGAACCTAGCTTTGTGATATCTTGTCATATGGGCTACAATTGTACAAATTAAAGCGATGCCAACAAGGAGAACTTTGTTTTACAGACCAGTAACTGTTAGTCCTCAATATATTGCAATATTCTGTCCACTTGAACAGTTTGGTTGGTCTGGATGCTTGGCGTGGTGCTCCACTCTTATTTGTATGCATTTGTGCAGCTATTTCGGAAGTCTCAACGCCGTGTTCGGACACTTGTTTCACTCCTCACAGTTGATCCATGAACTGTGCACAACTCCTCGTAAATTGGAAAAGCTAGTGATTCTTTTTCATGAAAAATTGTAAATACAGTGTGCAACCCACAACAGGTGGGAGAAACAATATTCGCCAACATTGTTGTCTGCCTTCCCCGTCAAGCAGATGACTACTGAGCCAGAACAATCACTTCAGTACTTTCGCTGAGAAGTAGCAGATTGTGCTGTGCACATAACTCTTCTGTCTGACATGCAAATACTTAAAGACTAGGAAATGGCCCTTACTTTGTGAATAAACATCATAGAACATTTCATTATGCAGATTTGACTGCAATGATTATTCACTGCCTATTTTTTTAACATTGCTACTATGACTTCCAGCACTTCTCAGCTGTCTATAGTGTTATTGGTGTTCCATATGTCCCTATTGTATGTGTATATGTCATGTGTAGTGTATTGCAAGTGCTATTCACTGGTGCATGATTTCTTTTTTACGAATGAGTGCTTTTGGGAGCACCAACAGGCATCCTCTATCTCGTGTGTCAGCTGATCTACAGTAGGCGAGCAAGAGCAAGGGTAGCTAATTCCCTTAACTTGTAATCCGTGACAACTTTCACAAGATTGTTGACTTGCTGAAATGTTTGACTCGGGCTTTCACTATTCGCCAACTGTTACTCAATTAAAGTGCCTGTCGCCCCGCCGCGGCGGTCTAGTGGCTAAGGTACTCGGCTACTGACCCGCAGGGCGCGGGTTCGAATCCCGGCTGCGGCAGCTGCATTTCCGATGGAGGCGGAAATGTTGTAGGCCCGTGTGCTCAGATTTGGGTGCACGTTAAAGAACCCCAGGTGGTCTAAATTTCCGGAGCCCTCCACTACGGCGTCTCTCATAATCATAGAGTGGTTTTGGGACGTTAAACCCCACATATCAATCAATCAATCAATCAATCAATCAAAGTGCCTGTCACTGAAACCCATTTATCTCTTTTGGAACGTAAACAAAGTTTCTTTTTCAACATGATCCTGTAAATGGTGTTTTCCCAGGATGCACTTGCTTACCACAACTGGAAGTTGATCTAGTTAGTCGCAAAAAGATCGGACGCACAGGTTAGAACATGGATGCTAAACACAACATCGAGAACAATGTTATATGCAGGGATACCGAGCACAACAGCGTGGGGTCATTTCTTTTTATTCAACAGGATGTGCTTCTCACCAATTTGTTGTCAAATATCATAATGCGGCTGAGGCTAATCGTACTGGCACTGCACTTTTTGAGAGCATGTGTGGTGAGAAAGACAATGGGTAGCACAGTAACAAGTACTGTGCCAGGGGGTACGGGCGACGGAATGGCATTGTTGGCACGCCTGTTCCAGGCACGGCCGTCCGAGTAAGTTGAAAGCACGCTAGTTCAAGGCGTGGCGCTTTGTGAAAAACGCATTAGGTTCACCATTTTCTGCAAGTTTCTGTCGGAAATGAAGGTTGTGTCTACGAATTTTAGCACCCAATTTTTTAGTTTGCTGAAAACCTTGAAGGCAAATATTTTGTTTAGCATACGTAATAAATTAATGCTTGTTCGGAGTGCAAACATCGTAAGACTCATGATATGTGTGCGCTTGCCAACAGAAACTAATTATTTCGCTCAGTGCTGTGTTTATATGTACATGGACATATTATGTTGATGTTGAATGGGGGTAGAATAAATGTCATCGCATGTCCAAGATTTTGTTTATTTTCCACACAACCTGAACTTCGTGACCCCCCGCTGACGGGCCGTTTTTTGTTTTTTTTTCCCGGAAAGGTGGCAGCTCTACTCGGGGTACGATTTGAAAAGAGTGAGAAATTCAAGATCACCGTTTGCAACAGGTTCAATTACCAGGTGGTGACTTTTTATGCAGATTGACTAAAAAAACTACTGCGACAATATAAAAAGTGTTAAAAAGTTAGCAGTGATTCTGTTGAAAAGTGAAGTAGGTTTTCGCTAAACTAAGCGCACCAATAAAAACGTTCGCTAATGAATAGTTTCTTGTTTGGAACCAAATGGCCTTTACTTTTTGAATGACCTTCAAAGATTTTATGCTTTGCATTGACAGATGCATAAATGAGTTTTTTTTTTGTGCCAATGGCGCATAGTCATCAAAGACACTGCTCAAACGAAGGACGGTGGCAGAAGC